AGAAATTTTACGATTACGCCACTTTACCTTTTTTAGTTTACTAATTATTTTATAAATAATCTTTTGTATCACCTTTTTATTTAATAAAAAATTAAAAAAAATGTTGTTAGTTTTATCTCAAAGTTTAACTTCACTAATGAACAAGTAATTATTTGTTTTTTTTTATTTCTTATTATTATTAGATAAAAATATTAATATTTTTTTTTAGAGAAGAATATAGTGATTCAGATAGTGACCAAATTTCATTTTCTCAAAACTATGAAAAATACAAAAATAAAAAGAAACATAAAGACAAAATAAGAAGAGAAGATAGAAAAGAATGTGAACAAGAAAGAATTTTTTTCAAAAAAATGATCAAAAAACAAAATGAAAGAATGGAAAAACAAAATGATAAATTTAATGAAAGAATAGAAAAACAAAATGAAAGATTAAATGTTTTTTTGTTTTGTCTCTTAATGATCATTACTTTATTTTTTTTAAAAGATATTTTACATAGTTGGATTATTTTTTTATTTTAATTTCTTTAATATTAGGATTTTTTAAAGAATCGATAAGCAACTTTTTAACTAAAATTCAATTTTTTAATTCTTAACTATGAAAAAACTTTTATTTTATTATAATAAAAAATAATAAAAAAAAATACAAAAATTATTTGGTGATTTCACCGTATTTTTCAGTATATCTATTATATTTGGTATTTAATTTATAATATTTATCCTTAAATTCTTCACACTCTTTTTTAATATTTAAAACAGCGTCATATAGTTTTTGATTTCTTTTACATTTTACCAAAACTTTAATGTTTTCAAATTGTTCTTTAATAGATTCGCATAATTCATATTTTGTTTCGTTTATTTCTTTTCTTATTTTTAAGAGAGATGCTTGTAATTCATGGTTTTTTTCGATTACTTCATCAATTTCTTTTAATGAAAACATCTTTTATAAAATAAAGTTTTGGTTAGTTTTATCTAAATAATAGAAAAAATAAAAAAAAATAATCATATC